TGAAGTATAATTTTAGTAGTAATAGATGTAGTTGGGGATTTGTGACTTTGGGTGATCAAAGTCATTAATAAGAGTACACGTTTTTAGATGTCTCGGGTCTGTTGTTTAAAGTGATGATGAAATGGATGTGGATATTATTAGTATAATTCAATTTGGATAGCTGAAGTGGAGGAATGTATCGGGCTTATTATGTGATAGAAAAGTACTGCTCAAACTTAAGGAAAATTTCTATAAGATGGTGAGAATTGCAATTCTTTATGGAGCAAAATGTTGGCCATTAAAAGAGAAGCATAAAATTAACTGGTGTAGAGATGAGGATGCTTAGGTGGACGAGTGACTTTGCTCTTTGAGACAGAATATGAAATTAACTTATATGAGAAAAGGTTAGAGTAGCTCCAGTGGAAAATAAAATTAGAAAGCGTCACCTTAGATGGTTTGGTCGCATAAACATCGGCCTTCTGATCACATAGTTAGAAGAGTAAATATATTAATTAGATTTGGCTTATGTTAAGAATGGTGGAGGTAAACCTAAAAGATTTGTCTAGAAAATATTAAAAATGTCTTTTTAATTAGATTTAAATGAAAATGACTCTTAACAAGATATTACTGAGGGAAAAAAAAAAAAGATTCATGTAACCGACTCCTCGTAGTGGGATAATAGCTTGATGTTACTGTTGCTATTGTACCTACTCATAATGACCAAAGTTTGATCATGATATTTGAATCTATTATTTTTTTCCTTGTTTTTTAGAAATATTGAGCAAAAAAATTTAAAAATACATAATTGCAAAAAAATTTCAGTGTTCCAAAAAATAGAAAATTTTCAATAAGGATATAAGTATATCCTAATCAATAGCTATTAAGATAAGTGTCAAAATTTCTAATATTATATAAATTTAGTAAATTTTCAAATAATAATAAATTTAATGATTATAACATTAATCAAAATAAACAAATTAGGATATGGTCGATTGTTATTTTTAATAAAATAAGTTGTTAAGTTGTTGTAAAATAATAATAATAATAAATTATTATGAGTATTAAAAATGTATTTCTTTTTTTGAAAATTCGAGCATCAATCTTTTTTTACAACTACTATAATTCTATTTGGATACAATTTTCATGTTGTTTTCTCATTACTTTTTAAATATTTTAAAAAAAAAAATTTGTTGCAATCATAGTAACATCACAACTAATTTTATAAAACTTTGTAATCATGGCAAATAGACTCTTAACCATTACACATTAATAGATTTGACCGTTAAAAACAATTTTACTCCAGCAAAAAAATTTTGAAAATGAGAAAGCATAAAATAAACAGAAACCAAACAAAATGTAATTATAATTTGAAAAATAAAACAATCGAAAGCTACTCCAAAGAGGGCCTTAGGCTTCGTTTTGGGAGAGATTATTACGTGCGGAGTTTCGAGACAGAGATCAGTTCAGTTTTGTGACTATGAACGGTAAAAGCGCAGAGGTGAACAGTAAAAACGAAGTGGTGAACAGTAACTGTATTTTTACTATTTAATGTTAGAAAATGGAACAATTGTTTATGTTCGGACTCCGCATGTAATAATCTTTCCCGTTTGGGATAACTTTATTACTTTCTAAAATAACTCTTTAATACAAAAAATTTTAGTCCGAAAAAATTTATATTAAAAAATTATTTTAGAAAATAATAAAAATGGTGTCCTAGACGGAACAATTATTAGGTCCGGACACGGAACGTAACTCTACATCCGGAGGCCAATAACATGTCGTTACATGCTCTTACTCTTTACCGCGCGGCCCGATGACCCGACCTGGACCGGAAACCGATATTGCTATGTTCATGTATTACTAGGTATTACTAGGTACTACTTGACAATAACGAGAAATATCACTCTATCAAGACCAATACCTAGCAATACCGAACAATTCCTAATAAAATCGGGGTATTGCTCGGTATTGGTTTTGACAGAATGATATTTCTCGGTATTGCTGAGTAATATCGAGCAATACCTAGCAATACCCGATCTGCACAAATCAGTCAATACATAGCAATCCTGGATCCAGTCCGGGTCGGGTCGTCGGGCCGTGTGATAAAGAATAAGAGCGCGTGGTATCATTTTACTGGCGTCCGAACGTATAGCTACGTCAGGACACCAGACCTAATAAAAATTCTCCTCAGACGAAGCATTAATGGCTTAATCATAAAGCAATTTTTTTCATAGATATATATACTGAAGAAATGCTCTTCAAATTCCCCCAACGCAGATCAACTATGTCCTCGGCGAGAATCCGCGGAAGATGAGCTACGTGGTTGGCTACGGCAAGAACTATCCCCGCCGCGTCCACCACCGCGGCGCCTCCATCCCGCACAACGGAGTCAAGTACTCCTGCACCGCCGGCTGGAAGTGGCGCGACGCCAAGACGCCGAATCCCAACACCATAACTGGCGCCATGGTCGGTGGCCCCGATAAGTTCGACGGATTCTCCGACGTTCGGACGAACTATAATTACACGGAGCCGACAATGGCCGGCAACGCAGGTCTCGTCGCGGCTCTCATTTCGCTCACGAGCACCGGAGGAGGGCTGGGGATTGATAAAAATAGCATTTTTTCTGCTTTGCCGCCGCTCTTTCCGGCCGCGCCACCGCCGCCTCCGCCGTGGAAGCCTTGAAATACATTTTGCTTTACACTATTCTTCCCTTTTTTTTGTTAAAGAAAAGTATGTTACTATGTGAATGCAAAGCTATTGATGAAGAATTCCAAACTCTCTTTGTTAAGATTAGAAATAATTTGTAAGAACTAAAATTTTAATATATTTTTTGTTTTTTTAATTATTTTATTATAATAAGTGCTTGAATAAGAATAATTCTTGTGAGTTGACTCAAACTCATATTATTAAGCACGTACTGGAGCTTGAACTCAATTGATTAGTCAAGCTCAAACACATGCTCGTTGGCTCGAGCTTTGCCCAACTTTTCTACAATTATAATTAGAGTGGTATTAAGGCTTTGTTTGGGATAGCTTTTAAACATTGCTTTTAAGTAATTTTTGTTCTAAGAAATTGCTTTAGAAAACATTCAAAAACATATGTAGAAAAGAAGCCTAAGACTTGGTTTGGGACAGCTTTTATACCGCTTCCTAAAACGGTTTTTAGTATAAAATTTTCTAATTAAAGAGATTTTTATACTAAAAAGATGTTTTAGAAAGCAATAAAAAAGTTGTCCTAAACGAAGGCTAAGGTTTCGTTTGGGACGGCTTTCTTATTGCTTCTTAAAGCAGCTTTCTAATACAAAATTTTTAATTTTTATACTAAGAATCTGTTTTAAAAAGCATGAAGAAAGGCGTCCCAAATGAAACCTAAGTCTTATGTTAGTGTGGTATAGATTCTTGTAAGTTTTTTAGTAAGAAAATAAGAAATTAAGCACTGTTATAAATTGTCATGAAATAGAATATGACACAAAGAGAGGGCATGTAGATTCGTGCAGTGCACATTTATTAAAATTTTAAAATTGATAGAGAAGTTGGAATTTTCAATAGAAAAATATTATGTTTGGATTTCTTGATTAAAATTTTAATTAGGAGAGGATTTAAAGTACTTGGATATACTTTAAGATTAGTGAAGTATAGGGCAACAAAATGTCAACAAGAAAAGGTTGTTGAAAAATTGAACTCAAACAAAAATAAAGATTTTGGACTAACGAGGTAACCGGTTAAGTCGGCTCGAGCTTGAATTGATAAATGGTTCAAGAGCCAAGCTCAATGAGCTGATAAGTTAAGTTTGAGCTAGTTCTAATCAACTCGTATGCTACTATATGTGTTGGATCGTCTTGAAAATATTAATTGTAAGCACACTTAAAACATTAAAATTCAATAAGTATTACCAAAAATGTATACAAAATATTCTTTTTTGGTGTTAGAAATGAAGTTCGGTTGGAGGTGAATTATTGTTTGATATGATTGTTGATACATTACCAAAAATCACATTGATCAAACATGAATTTCGAAGTATATTTGAATAAAAAACTTTCAAAATTAAATTTAAGACCATCTAAACTTCAATCACAACAAACTTACAAGCAAAATGAATGTTTCGACAAGACAAACCTAATGACAGCAAAATCGATCTAATACGAGTCAAATAGGCTAGAATCAAGGGGTTGAAGCATACTTGAAAGCTTAAAAGCATTAATTGAGTAACAAAATGATATCTAAATATGTCATGCTTATAATTGAATCGAGCGGCTTGACAAGAGGAATCCAATGAGCCTAAGATTACTTAATTCTAACACCGCGCGCTAAGGAACTAACATTCTTAGTGAAAGCTCTATGATCGAAGGAATCAATATGGACTGACTGCTGGAGCACTCCTAATTTTCCCTATACTTTCTACATATTTACAGAGCTTGTCACTTCCAAAAACCTATAAATTGATCATCATTATTAACATGAAGAAAAAAAAAAAGATAGAGAGAACTAGTGAGAGCTCTCTTGCATTTTTTAGTCATCATCATCGACGACCACCACCGACGATTGCCACCGACAATCACAATCATCACCAAAGATCAACTTCAAAAATCACTACTTTCTCTAGAATACAAAGAAGATTTAACCATGTTGTTGGGTATAAATATCCACTTATGGACATCTGTTTTATATAATCCCTATTGGGAAAATCAAAACTCTATTGTTGGGTGTTATATGTTCATCTATAAACACTTGATTTCTATACTCTCCCTATTCTTCAATAATGAAGAAAGAAGAATCTTTGTATCACTCGCTATATAGTGCATTTTACAACTAGGGCAGGCCATGTGATTTTTTACCTTTCCGGGTTTTCCACAAAAAAAAATCTTTGTCCTATTACTTTCATCCATACGTGTTGAATCATTGTGCAGCGCTAAGATGTAAAATATACTCAGGTCCGACTCAAATTTTCTAGCACTCAACAACTGTCACTGTATTTTGAAGTGAAAAATAAATTTTTCGGTTGAAGATGCGCTAATAAAACTATTATCGAATCGAACACCATTGAACCATACCTCATTCATATTTTGTAGATAAACATATAAGTTTACAGATAAAAACTAGCCAAATTTGAGATAATTATCAAGCTGAACACCATCAAACACCAACAACAAGCTTTCTCAACAGCCTTAAACAAGCAAAGCAAAGCAAGAGAAGAAAGCACAAAAACAAAACTGGCTCAAATTGCAGACTTACTCCTTATCCACCACAAGCAATTTCTTCCCAACATTTCGGCCCTCAAAGAGCTCCAAAAGCGCCGAAGGACCGTTCTCAAAACCCTCGGCCACATCCTCCACATATTCAATCTTCCCTTCTTTTACGTACTGTGTGATCGTCTCCACGAATTGGGGATAGAGGTTGTAGTGATCGAACACCACAAAGCCTTTGATCTCAACCCTCCGACCGATTATCGTTGCGAGGTTGTGGACGCCGTCGGGCTTTTCGAGGTTGTACTGTGAGATCATCCCGCAGGCGGCGATGCGGCCGTGGTTCCTCATGTTGAGGAGGACGGCGTCGAGGGTTGCGCCGCCGACGTTGTCGAAGTATATGTCGATTCCTTGAGGGAAATACCTGCATTGAGATTTGAGCATAGAGATGAATTATACTAATTTACTTATAATTCATGAAAGATTAGGGTTTATGTATATCATTGGAGATAATGATCAAAATGATCCTCTGACTCTTTATGAAGATAAATTATTCTATGCGAAAATCACGCAGAAGAACCGTCCGATTTTGTCTCCGTGATGCTTATACTGTTCACAGAGACATACCGTACGGTTCTCTCTGTCCGGTGTCTGCACAGAATGACCAAAATGATTTTCGACTATTTAAAAGTACTATTTTAGTCACTTGACCTTTTAAATAGAGACCTAAATGATTTCACGAATAGATTAATTTGATCATTATTTAAAATTTCAAGGAGCCAGATTGATACTCTTATATAGTTGGGGATTATTTCGCTCCTTCTGAAAAAATATAATTTAATTTGTGATGAGTTTAGCATAAATTTTGATTAACTCTATATATTTTGCACTAATCTCAAAGGCAATTTAAAGGCTATCATACTCATCTTGATCAAAATTTGATTAGGGTATCTTGATCCAATTTTTTTATCATGATTGCCTTAAAAATTGATGATGATGCATTTAAATAACACATAATAAACTTAAAAATATATAATAAAACATTAAGATATTGAAAAACTTGTATGTAATAATTATAACAAATGCCATAAAAATATTTATATGCGCCGATTTTTTTATATCATTTTGATGAAAATTATATCACAATAATCAATAAAAAATTATATTGCACCGTTCTAAAAATAAATTTAAAATCTTAATGATCCAAAATTTTTCTCCCAAAAAAATAAAATAAAATAAAATCAACATTGAGAAATTAAAGGAAACCACAGACCTTTTCAAAGCCAGATTGAGATCAGACTCTTTCTTGTAGTTGAATGCCTCATCAAAGCCAAATTTGCTCTTGAGCAGCTCAACCTATATGCAAAATAATAATAATAATAATAATAATAATATATACTATTTTTTAAATTATTTTTTTATAAAAATACTATACTAAGCACCACTTTTAGGATTCATTTGAGACAACTTTCTTACTATTTTTTAAATTAAATCTTTTTAAATTAAAATTTTGTACTGAAAATTTATTTTTGAAAACAGTAACAAAGCTATCAGGCTTCATTTGAGACTACTTTCTTACAATTTCTTAAAGCCATTTTTTAGTTTATTAACTAACTAAAAAATTGTTTTAAGAAAAAATAAAAAAGCCGTCTCAAAAGAAGCCTAAATTTCCTTTAAAATGATAAAATTAAAGAAAATTTTACAAATATACCACTGAATTCTTACATTTTCACATATCCAATATCTAATCTTTTATATTTTAATATTATAAATATTTAAATATTTAAATATTAAATATATATAAGGAATATGAATTCTCCTAAAATAAAGATTGTGTTCACCTTCTCATCAGAACCGGCGCTGCCAACAACATAGCAACCCATCAGCTTAGCGAACTGGCCGACGAGCTGCCCAACAGCTCCAGCAGCAGATGAAACATAAACATTTTCTCCTTTCTTAGGGGAGCATTTCTCATAAAATCCAGCATAAGCTGTGAGCCCCGGCATGCCTATATGCCACCAAATAATCAAATTCATAGCACAAATATGTCTTCTTAATAGTAAGAGATTAAGCTGTTAGGTTTGCAACATTCAGTGTAAAGTAAATGCAAGAGTTTTGAAAATTCGAGCGTTTAGATTGTTGCGTTGCAAATGCAAAACATATGGAAATCGTCTGTTTTGAGCGAATTCTAAATACACAGCTTGGGTAAAAGTGATGCTGTCTGGTTCCTGTCGTAGGCTTCAGCTGGTCATCGCCGGCCGCCCTTCGGTTGCTTCTATCTCAGACTTTGCTGACTATCACTGCATTTCTTTTACTCTACATTTTCTTTTCATCTATGAGTGCAATTGATAATCATTTTTTTGGTTCATTTTGAATGTATTTGGAATTCGCCTGCTTTCAGTGAATTCCAAATACAGAATTTGGGCAAAAGTGATGTTGAGCGGCCTCCGCCTTAGGCTTATGTCAATCATCACTGTATTCCTTTTACTCAGCATATGTTTATCTAGTGTCTAATGTTGGAGTAATTATTCTGTGCGGAGGCCGGGCGCAACTCTACAGCCACATCAACTATACCGAGCTGTACGGAATAGTATCGAGCAAAGAAGAGACGTGGCACATTCTGATTAATCTCCGGACGACGTTCGGCGTTCGTACAGAATAATTTTTCCTAATGTTGATGAATAAAATGACTGAAATTCAATCTTACCAAGAAGGCCGGTGTAGTAAGAAAGAGGCACATCTGCAGTGTGGTTAATCTTGAACAAGGCTTGAGGTTTGTCTATGAGGCTGTAGCTTTCCCATCCGGTCAAGCCCCAGACGTAGTCGCCTATTTGGTAATCAGGATGGCCAGAAGCAACAACTTTGCTGACGCCAAACCCTTTGATTGCCTAAGCAATTTGGTTACAGAAAACAAGCGATTAATTGAAGCTGAAATGATCTTTTATGATGAGATGAGTTCTTCATGTAATAATTAAATTATAAATTTTTTGTACTTTTTATTTAAATTTCGTTTGTGATGATTTTCTTACTGCTTTAAGAAGCAGAAAGAAAGCAAATTGAATAACTTTGAGACATTTTTTACCGGCTAATGCTCGTCATACAGTGGAAAGTTAAAAATTATTCATTTGACTATTATTTTCTTGTTGTTTTTTAGAAGTTTTAATGTTGAAAACTTAAAAGATGCTTTTTTATAAGTTGAGTTGCTATGATTTAAGCTTCGTTTGAGACAACTTTTTTACTGCTTCTGGAATCAATTTTCTAGTACAAAATTTTTAATTTTTATGCTAAGAAGCTGTTTCAAGAAGTAGTAAAAAAGCCGTCAGGCTTTGTTTGGGACAACTTGTTTACCGTTTCTTATGACTACAGTCTTGAAAGTAAAATAATAAGAAAACTATCACTAACAAAATCTAAATTATTTTCCCAACAATAACTTTACAATCCGTTTTATCAAACACTTCAGCCGTTAATATGAAATCCATCTGAAAATAAATCTAACAACTTCAAAATCCATGAAAACCTAAAATTCTTTCAATTGAAGAGTAAAAACTAACCTCTCCAAGAACATAACTCTCAATTCTCAAGGGCTCCCTGTTCCTGGACATGAGATGGCGCATATAGGGATCGCAGGAGAGGTAGAGATTCTTGACGACCACCGCCTCTGATCCTTCCGGCGGCGCTGACCTTACGGCGTCGTCGGTCTCCACCACCTCGAAGTCGCTGAGCTTTGGAAACCCGCTCACGTAGTTCTTCAGAACAACCTTCTTCCCTGCCATCGATATCTCCTTCGATCGGGATCTTTCTCGGCGTATCGAAGCCACTGATTGCTCTCCTTTTTATAATTTGGTGAGGGATTGGCGTCCGATTGCAATATCGTCATCGATGACGGAAGTGGGGCTATATGGAAAGAGACTGAGAGGGTTTAGAACTTTTATTTTGTCCCGTGAACGTACATAGAGCTACGTTCGGCCGGCACTAAAATTGCAGACACAAAATAAGAAATATCGAGCAAATACTTAGCAATACCAATAATAACGAGAAATATCATTATGTGAAGACAAAGTACCGAGTAATACCGAGCAATACCGAGTAATACAAAAAAATACCGAGTTTTTTAATTTTTTTTTGTAATACTCGGTATTACTCGGTATTGCTCGGTATTACTCGGTATTGATCTTTTCAGAGTGATATTCCTCGTTATTATCAAACAATACCTAGAAATACCGACCAAATACCGAACAAAAATCGAGTAACAATTCTTTGACCGGACGTAGATCTACGTCCGATCAGAGGACGGAATAAAAGTTCTTATTTGAGAGGGAGCTTTCTCAGTGTTTTGATTTTGTATCTCAATCAAAATTCTATTTTGAATTTTTGATGCTGTTTGTTTCAGCTTTTTGAGGTTTTTTTTTAATGAAAATTTGTTTTTTTATAATTGGAGCTACTAATGTGAGGTGGCTTTAGGCTTCATCTGGACGGTTTTTTAGTTCTGATTCTTTTTAAAAACTGAGTAAAAATATTGGCCAAAAGTTATCATAAATAAAGTATTAGATAATTACTATTTGATATTTTAAAAATGAATGTATATATATAATATTCATAGTAGCTTTTAAAAAAAATTAATTTGTGAAAAATATTGCAAGAGTCTCAGATAGATACTAAGGTTTTATTTGTGGTAGTTTTATTACTATTTTATAAAGCAGATTTCTAGTATAAATTTTTTTGAATTAAAAATTTTTGTACTAAAAAAATGATTAGAAAATTGTCCAATATATATATATAGGTGAATTTCTTTGCACAATGCCCACTTTTATTTTAAAAAATTTGTTGCATAGGTAAATAAAAATCAACTCAAAATTAACCAATATTAGGATAAGAATAATAATGAGTTTTTCTTTTTAAATGCAAAAAGGTAGGCAAAAGTGGGCCCTATTTATGAACTAAGATAGTTGCTGAAATGGTAAGAAACACTAATGATGTAGGATGATGTCATAAAAGAGAAAATGATAGAGGATAATGCCTTCACATGAAAAACAATTAATTTGCACTCATGTCATCACTACTAATCAGTGTGACCCCATAAGCTCAACTCGAAAAGCTCGTTAGTCAGTCGAGTTTGAGTCGATTTGACTCACTTCGTCCCTAAGTCACATCACTCAATGCTTTAAAGTTTGAAGATTCCACTCTTATATGAATAAGGGATTCGCCAAAGCTGATTGAGGTAACTATTAGCTACAGAGAAATTATTTTATAATTGTATAATATATATTTTAAAATCAAAACTATGTATAGGGGATGGGGATGGATTGGTAGTGATGGGGTTAGCATGATGAATGAGGTTGGAAAAATTTCAAGGACAACAAGGATGGTCACGATAGGATTGGGGTTAGTATGGCTACCATTGCACCCACTGGGGGTCGACCGACTAGAGCGTATCATCATTTTAGGGTTGAATGTGCATGGGAATGACTAACAACGAGTTGCATTGGCAAGCTTTGTTATGATTATGTTTTGCTTGGGGCTGCATATTTCGAATTCATCTAATTTACATAAATTCATAATACAATGTAAATAATCTCATAGTTGTTATTAAAATCCTCAAAAAGAAAAATTATACATTAACATTGCAATCAAACAAGCATCTAAGAAGTTAAAAATCCTACATTTTAAGTACCATACATTCATAATACACTCAAGCAATCAATTTCTTAGCATAACTATTATCACCAAAATAGTAATGCAACAAGCAAACTTTAACTATAACAAAAGTGTTGAGAAGCATTAGGGCATCATTTATAGGCTATAAAATATTTTGGAAAGGCAAATAATTTTTCATAGAGACGGTTTAGTTTGTGCAAGGGCGTTGACAAGTCTCAAGTCCTGGATGTGAAAAATGAAGGGTTGTGTTAGATAGTCGACATCCAACTTGAAACTTGTCAAATAATCATATAGAATGGATGTGGGCAAATAAGCTAGTCCATGAAACTAAAATTAGGATATGAACTTGGAATATTGGTTATGTTATAGAAAAATACTAATGGAATTAATATATATTATGATTCATAGGAAGATAAATATTCTTTGCATTCAAAAAATTAAATGGGTTGAAGAGAAGGTTAAGGAGATTGATAGTTTAGGATTTAAACTTCGAGATTTAGGTAGGAGCCGTATTAGAAATGATGTATGTGTGATTATATATAAGATTTTGAAGAATAATGTTATAAAAATAATAGAATTGAAGATATAATTATAGCCTTAAAGATTATTGTTGATGCTAAAATTATTAATATTATAAGTACTTATGTTCCTCAAATTGGTTTGGATATATATTCAAAATTAAAATTTTAAAATGACTTAAAAAAATTAATATAAAAGATATCTCTTGAAATAAGAGTTTTTATTGGAGAAAATTTAAATCGACATGTTCATAGAGAAGTAGATGATTTTAAAAATATTCATGGTGATCATGAGTTTGGAACAACTAATGAAGGTGGTAAGATCATATTATATTTGTTTTAGCTTATAATTTTTTAATTATTAATACCTTATTTAAGAAAAGAGATGAGCATCTCATAATGTATACGAATGGATATAATAAATCTCAGATTGATTATTTTTTTATAAAAAATTAGATTGTTTAGATTAAAAAGATTATAAAGTTATTCTGATTGAAAGTTTATGTAGTCAATATTGCTTATTAGTTTTAGATTTAAGATGAAGGGGTAGAAAATTAAAAACAAAATATATATAGTGATATTCTAGGATTAGATGTGGGCATTTAAAAAATATTAACAAAATATATTTTTGAAAGTAAGATTTTAGATCTTAAGATTTTTTCTTTGCATGAGTTTGCTAATGCTATATGGAAAAAATTGGCTAGTTATATTAAGAATATTATAAAAGATATGTTTGGAGTATCAAAGAGAAAAATTCTTAATAATAAAAATAGTTGGCGGTGAAATCCAAATGTATAAAAAAAAGATAATAAATAAAATTATTTGTTATAAAAATTGATTTAGTTGTAAAAATTTTGATAATTGGGAATGATATAAAGAGACATGAAAGGAATCTAAGAAAATAATACGCGATGCAAAAAAAATTAGTTTTTAATGATTTATATAATATATTAGAAACTAAGGAGGAAGAAAGATATCTATAAGTTAGTCAAACAAAGAGATATGAGTAGTAAAGATTTAATTCAAGTAAAGTGTATTAAGGATGAATATCAAAAAGTACTTTTTTTATAAGGTGATATTCAATAAAGGTTGATGAGATATTTTACTAATTTTTTTAATAAAAATTGTGAGAATACGATTGACTTAAGTGACCTTAGCACCCTAAATGAAAATAAAGATTTTTATTTTTATCGGCACAATAATACAATTGAAGTTAGAGAGACTTTAAAGAAAATGAAGTGTGGAAAAGCTGTTGGACCTAATGACATCCCAATATAGGTGTGGAAATGCTTAGGAGATAAATGAATTTCTTGGTTGACTAAACTTTTTAATACTATTTTGAAGACTAAAAAGATGTCATATGAGTAGAGAATGAGTGTGTTGATTCTTATTTTTAAGAATAAAGGTGATGCATAAGATTGTGCGAATTATATAGGAATTAAGTTAATGTGTCATATTTTAAAACTATGGTAGCGAGTTATTGAGCGTAGATTGTCGTATGATACTAATGTTTCTCAAAATCAATTTGGATTCATGCCGAGTAAGTCTACTATGAAGGTCATACATTTATTGAGAGGTTTGATGGAGAAATATAGCGAGAATAAGGAGTATCTACAAATGATATTTATTGATTTAGAGAAAGCATATGATAAAGTTCCAAGAGAAGTGCTATAGAGAGTTCTTCAAAAGAACGGAGTTAATAATGTTTATATTCAAATCATTAAAGATATGTATGCATGAGCTATTACTTGTGTTCAAACACAAGGTGGTTTGACCAAGTATTTTCTTATTTTAGTTGGATTACATCAAGGATCAACCTTACACCCATATCTTTTTGCATTAGTCATGGATTATGAATAAAGGTAATAGACCTACTGGAGGGATTATGAATTTTGGCGATCAAGCGATTAATATGAGTACATGTTGTAGATATTATGGATATATTATTCAGAATGATGGTAAAATAGATGGGGATATTATCAGAAAAATTCAAGTTGGATGGTTAAGTGGAGGAATGCATTGGGCTTGTTGTGTGATAGAAAAGTCCACCTCAAACTTACGGGAAAATTATATAAGATGGTGGTGAGACCTGCAATGCTTTATGTTGTAGAATGTTGGTCATTAAAAGAGAAGCATAATACTAAGTTAAGTGTTGCAGATATGAGGATGTGTAGGTGGATGAATGGATTTACCCTTAGAAACAAGATACGAAATGAGCATATATGTAAAAAGGTTGGAGTAGCCAAGTGGAAGACAAGATTAGAGAGAGTCGCTTTAGATGGTATGATCACATAAAACGATGGCCTCTTGATGACCCAGTTAAGAAAGTAGACGTATTAGTTTTGACTTATATTAATAAAGATAGAGGTAGACCTAAAAAGACTTTGTTAGAAAATATTAAAAATGATCTTTCTTTATTAGATTTAATCGAGAATTTGACTTTTAACATAACACAACGGAGAAAAATGATTTATATAGCCTACCTCACGTAGTGGGACAAAGGCTTGCTATTGTTGTTGTTGTTATAGTTAAGAGCTGAGCTCATAACATATATAATGCACGTAAAATTTATTTTTAAACATATTTTTTAATTAATTATTTAAAATGTCAATAATATTTATTTATTAGATAATAATAATAATTTATTTATTTATACACAAAAAAAATAATTTTATCTATTTATTAGAGATAAATTATTTTTAGATACGAATTTATGAAACATATTTGATATATAACATAAAGATGTAAAATATATTTAAACATATAACATAAATTAATACTAATTTATATTAAACATATAAACTTATATCCAAATTAAATTTATACTAAATATGTAATATAAATTATATGGTTATATATAAATTAAATTTAGATTAAAAATCAAATTTAAAAATTAAAAAATATGTAAATTTAATAATTATCATTAATAATTATGAGATATGAGATTTTTTTTCCTCTTATATGAAGTTTACAAGAATTAATTTAAAATTCATTACCATTGAGGAAAGTTATTTATGGAGTTTATGAATTTTTTTGACTTGTATACGGATTAATTTATTTTTTGATAATATTATTATTTATTATGTCTTCCACAATTTTATATTTATTGCTTTCTTTTCTCCAATAAAAAAAGAAAAATTTAATCTTTATATTTTTAAAGAAAATTCAAATTCAATCGGTAAAATTAGCCTTTAAAGGGAATGCAATCATCAAACGAATAATTTCATATCATATTATATAATAATATATATCTCCTTAAACAAACAAATCAATAATATATGCAGATTGTTTTTAAATTCCAATTAATATAAATAAGCTTTTCTGATTAGCAGTAAATCATAAAATTTTCCATGATAAGATAATGGAAAAGAATTTATTTCTGTATAAAATTTCCACGGATCAGAAGCAGTCAACCCGAATTTCGCGGCTAATCTTCAGTCAGACTGAGAATGGCAGCCGGAAAAATCTCTTGGCTTCGGAACTGTAAGCCATGCCAAGATTTAGGCAATAAAAGTGAAAGCTTTTCGATTCCTTTCCATGAAATCGCCCTCTGCTCTCTACCTCAGCTTCATCTTCAATATCGCTTAATCGGTGACCGATTCTTCGTTCATCAATACGTCGCTCTCTCTGCCCAAAACTTCCCGCTACCGCCCCCCCCGCCTCCCCGCCCCCGTCCCACTTCTTTTTCTTCTTCTTCTTCGTCGGCTTGCTTCGTGGTTAAAGATCTCGCCTTTCGTCCTGACTGAGCGGCTAAAAGTCTCACCTTTTTACCTTTCCGGGTTAGTTTCTGCAGTTCTGCGTTTTGGAGTTCTGAAAGATTTTTGGCACTGAAATGGTGCAAGAAGAGCATCGGATCTTTTACGACGGAGGGGAAGCAACGCGGGAGTCGTTGAAGAAGGTGAAACCCGACAAAGCACCGAATCGTGGCCTCGGGATAGCGGAGCTGGAGAAGCTCCGGAGAGAAGAATGGCAGAAAGGGTTCTCACCCGGGGAGCTAGTCTTCCATCCTCTTAACCCTCAGCAAAACACGATCGTTCCTTTCCTCCCAGGGTTTGATCCCAGTTTCCCGTTCGGATACAATGTTGAAAATTTCCCCATGTTACGGTCTCATCTGCTAGATTCAAGCCCACTGGTTTCGAGCGACGGTACAATGCCATTGTTATGGAGCTCATTTCAGAGCGATAACTCGTCCAGCTCTAACTCGCAGTTTTCCCTCGCCACCTCCGAATTGAAGCCGCCGCCACGGGAGTCGCAACCGCTTCTTATATTGCAGAAACCTGAGCCTCATCAGCAGATATCTCAGGTCTCGCCGGCTCGGCGAATTACTTCATTTTTATCTGTTTCTCCTTATTGCGCACCAACTGCTTGTTGAAATGCCTTTTCAATCATTTCCTGTGTGTTCAGGTCGTGAATTACTCCTCGCTACATTCAGTTCCTGAAGCGGGTCTTCAGATGGAATTGGAGCTCCCTTCAAACCAAAGCTATTATGGCATTCTGACTCCCTCTTCCTGGGCAGATCAGCAGCTAATGATGCATCAGGTTTACTTCCATTTATTATAATTTTTTTTGGGGGGATTTACATACATACCACTTTATTTTATACTATTTATATATATAACACTCAAAATATTAATATTATATATCTACCATCCATAGAACAGATTTAGATGCATGGAATGAAATATTAAAGTTTATAAGATGATATGAATGATAGAAATGAATTATATGAGTGGAATATTTGATATTAAAGTTTTATATGGGTGGTAAACGTGTAATATTAATATTTTCAGTATTAGATCATATGTAAATAATATGAAATAAAGTGGTATGTATTTAAACCTCCCTTTTTTGGGGATTTACATACATACCGCTTTATTTTATACTATTTAGATATATAACACTCAAAACATTAATATTACATGTCTACCACCCATAGAGCAAATATGAATGCATGGAATGAAATATTAAAGTTTATAAGATGGTATGAATGATAGAAATGAATTATATGAGTGAAATATTTGACATTAAAGTTGTATATGGGTGGTAGACATGTAATATTAATATTTTCGGTGTTAGATATGTAAATAGCATGAAATAAAGTGGTATGTATGTAAATTTCTCTTTTTTGTTTTTTTGCTTTAAGTTCTTTTGTTTTATTTACTAATTATAACAAGGCATGAACATGTAGATTGTTGCCATGAATCATCCATGGCAAAATCAAAGGGTCTCTGTGGCAGAACCCATACCTATTTCTCACCCAGATTGTGGCACAATGAGGATCAATGGAACTCAAGGAACAAGCACTGATTGTTCAATGTAAGTTCAATTCAAAATTTAGATTTTTTTGGTTTCTAGTTATATTTGATGAATAAAGGTGGCCAATGTAATTCTTAGAGATACTGCTTTAAGCTTGCACAATGTTGGTGTGAATCTAAACAGCAACCATCCTACAATGAAGAGGAATGTTGCATCTGAAGAAGACATTGCTGCTCCTATTGAGGGAAGTGCTCTCAGCTTGGTTTGCTTACATCCAATTAGTAGCAATGGTTGGTCCTCGAAATCCGTTTCCGTCCGACCGTTTTCTGAGATGAGTGCTACTAAGAGACAGGTTAGTCGTTCGCAAAAGGTTAATATCAGCTCAATGTTGCTTGTTGTCGCCTCACAGGCTTGTCATTTGAGGAGTGTTGCCTGTGGAAGAAAAACGTTGTTTATGAACTGTTTTGTTCAAAGTAAAACATTGTACATAATTGGAACCCCTATAAACTGAATGCCATCTAAATTAACTATTTGTTTTGTAGTAGTTTTCTAAATAAAATGGTCTCAAAATGGCTTGATTTAAAGTAAATGCAGTTACTTTATATGTTATCAAACCTTAAAAAAGGAACCTTTGCTACCTTCCTTTTACTTGCAGCCAAATTGCACAAATTTAAAAGCCACTTAGAATCTTTTGATGTCAAGTTTGTACTTTGAGATTTTGTCTCTGACATTATATATGACAAGTTATGTGTCAAACCTTAGGTCCAGAAGGCGGTATACCCTGACAACATGGGACATGATTAAGGGATAGGAAAACTTGTTTTGTATTCACAAAAAGAACATGCATATAAAAGATATACTTGCATGTGTGTGTGTGTGTGTGTATATATATATATATATATATTAGAGTAAACATAGGAAGTAAAATAAAGCCAATCCATGAATAGAAGTTCAAATAATCAATACATCCAAATAACGAAGTTCTGATACAAGCCAATAGGAATATAAATAGAAAAAAAAGGAAAGAATCCAATCCTCGGAACACATAAACATAATAAATTACTGCAAAATAATAAATATAAAAAAAACAATCAACTACAAGTAACCTTGCTCCAGAGGTGACGGTCCACTAAACACTCCTGCATGACCTGTTGAAAAAGACAACGAGTGAGTTTGATGAATCAAACTTAACAAGTAACTACTATCTATCAAAACATAAATGACAAAATATATATATATATATATATATTGTCGTTTTATCATATACACATATTGGTAAGATGAAAACAAACTCAAGGAAATTCAATGATTTTCTATAGAGTTGTCACTCTAGGGGGCCGTCGACTCCGTCTAGCCAAAAACAAATAGGGTTTCACTGACATGCATACAATCATATAAGATAAATGCTTTTATGAATAACCAATAAATATTATATAAATCAATGGGTCATATATGATTTGTATATTTGAATTGATTTGCATGAATGCGATTCTTTTTATTGAACAAAGATAAATTAGATAAATTTAACTTTTTCAACATATAAATTTAACTTGCATGAATAAGAATTAATGAGCAATAAATCAAGATAAAGTTATGCATATCCTAAGTTGATTTATTATGAATAATAGCGAAGGTTACTACATGTATGATTATACTAAGGAATTCAACATAGGACTGACAATCCTATTACGCCCTGATAAAGAATGATTCTTTAACACAAAAATAAATAACGGTACTTACCTTTAGGAGGGTGATAAGGTCCAATGTCAAAAGATGCTCAACTCATCACACCAAAACTCGAAAGTCCTACAAACAATAATTCCTATTTTAATATAACACTAAAAGACTCCAATATATAAAACACCAAGCTTACACAATCCAACCTAAGCTTTGTTAGAAAGACCCACAAGATGTAACATGAAATAATGACGTTGAAGGTATCTAAACAGCGTAGGATTCCCTACTTTTTTGAACTTAATTGCAACATAAAAAGAGAACATACCAACATGAATAAAAATAAAAAATCATGTAAGTATGATTAATTAAGATCTAATATCTCCAATCAAATTTAAGAATTCAAATAATAATACGATAATGTTAACTTACCTATGTTAAATGATATCACACAACGAGGGAAGGAGGAGGAAGGCTCAACTTGATCGAAGAGAAAGAAGGAAAGAAAAAGGAAAAAGGGGGAAGGAAAGAGGGAAAACTCACTGCACATGGAGAGGAGTTTGAGAAGAGTTCGCCTAGAGATTCTATTGCGAGAGCAATCAATCCAAAAGAGAAACAATCGTGTTATTTATGCGATTCGAGAAAGAGAGACGAGGCGCAAAATGGCGGCTTGTCGCGATCCGGGGGAAGGAGCAGGAGGAGGTCAGTTCTGCTTCTTGCGCTTGCAGGAGAAATTGGATCGGTTCTGTCCGGTTTAGGATATAACATACTAGCTCCCTTAAAAGAATTTGGTCTCCAAATTCATACCTTAGTTCTAAAACAGTTGTGGATAATTCGCATCATATCTTCTTCAATCTCCCAAGTGGCTTCTTGTTCTAACTATTTCTTTCAAAGCACTCTGACAAATGGGATAGATCGACGACCAACTGTCAAACTTCACGCTCCCAAATGCGTTGCAGTACCTCTTCATAGCTCAGATCTTCTTGAATCACCAAAGGATCAAATTGAATAATGTGAGAGCTGTCATGCATGTAGTGTCGAAGGAGGGAGACATGAAAGACATTGTGCACTCCTGCAAGCCTCGGAGGAAGAGCAAATCTATAAGAAACTTTGTCGATCCTTTCGATCACCTTGAAGGTCCAATAAAATGGGGCTGAAGTTTTCCACCTTTGCCAAATCTTGTAACTCCATGCATGTCCGAAACCTTGAGAAATACGTGATCACCAGCCTCAAATTTATTCATATGCTTATGATCAAAATATCTCTTGCTCTTGAACTGAATGAAGCCTTTCTCGAAGATGATGAATCTTCTATGTAGCATGATCAACCAGTTGAGGTCCCAAGAGCTTCCTCTCACTGACCTCAAACCAACACAAAGGTGATATACACTTACTTCCATAGAGAGACTCATAAGCTACCATGCTGTTACTAGCTTGAAAGCTATTATTGTAAGCAAACTCCACAAGTGGAATGAAATCCTGCTAGCTTTTACCAAAATCAAGAATGTAGGCTCTCAATAAATTTTCTAATGTTTGAATGGTGTGCTTTGACTGACCGTCTGTCTGCAGATGAAAAATAGTATTGAAATCTAATCCTATACTCAAAGCTTCTTGCATTTTCTTTCATAGTCTTGAAGTAAATCTCCCATCTATATCAAACATGATGACGAGAGGAATCCCATGCAGTCGAATGATACTATCCACGCAGATCCTTGCTAGCTTTTTCACTGAGTAGTTCTGCCTAATCAGTAGAAAGTGAGCTGTTTTGATGAGTCTATCAACTATAACCCAAGCTGCATCATGACATTGCTTTGATCTGGGCATGCCAACTACGAAGTCCATAGCAATCTCCTCCCACTTCCATTCTGGAATAGGAAGAGATTGCAATAAACCACCAGGTCTCTGATGTTCTTCCTTGACCATCTAACACATCAAGCACTTGGCTACAAACTCTGCCTCATTATTCTTCATACTAGGACACAAGAATTGCTTCTTAAGATCTTTATACATTTTCATGCTCCCAAGGTGAACTGAATACAATGTTGTGCGACTCCCAAAGTATCTCCTGTCGGTGTTCGACATGGTCAGGAACACAATTTATCTTGAATTTTAAGGCACTCATTTGATCAACAGTGAAATATGGCTTCAATCCGTTCCGAACTTGATCTTTAATCTGCATTAGCTTTATATCTTCCATTTGAGCTTCACGAATCCGATCCATAATCATCGGCTGAATAGACAGCTGAATAGACATACAATAAATAACAGAGTTGTCTCCTACTGACACTATCTCGAGCTGAAGTTGCTCCATTTCATGTACTAATTGTCGCTCATGAGTGATCATCCATGCTGTTTAAGATGAAGATTTCATGCTTAAATGCTTAAAGCATCAACCATCGCATTTAGTTTTATCTGGATGGTACTGAATTTGTTACTCATTGTCCTTCATCAACTCAAGCCATCGCCTTTGCTTTAAGTTTAACTCCTTTTGAGTAAAAAGATATTTCAGGCTCTTATAATCAGTTAAAACCTCACAACAAATGCCATAAAGGTAATGCTTCCAAATCTTTAATGCAAAAATGACTGCAGCTAGCTCCAAGTTGTGCGTAGAGTAATTCTTCTCGTGCACCTTACACTGTCTTGACGCATAAGCTACTGTCTTACCGTGTTGTATTCAGACACTACCCAAGCATTGATATGAAGCGTCACTGTAGATTTGAAATCCATCAATATGATAGGGAATACTCATTTGCACAAGTAAACCTAACCCAAATCAAGTACTGAAGCAAAGAAACTGCTGTCCGCAGCAAAAACACAGCCCCAACAGTGGAAAACGGAGAGAAAACTCAATGGAAATTCGTTGGACCGGTCCAGTCGGCCCCCTCCTGGGCCGGCGTAACACAATACTAGAAGGAATGATGATAATAGGAGCAAACACCCAGTAACTCTTGAGTATCAGATCATACGAACTTAATGGATTTTTGAGTCAGCCAAGTGAGTGGAGCTGCAATACTTGAAAAGCCTTTCACGAAATGCCTGTAATAACTAGCTAGGCCAAGAAAAATACGAATCTTGGTGACGGTGCTTGGCCTCAGCCAACCCATTACTGCCTTGACTTTAACAGGATCCATAGAAATTCTAGCTTCACTAACAATGTGACCAAGAAATGCATGCCATCTCTCGAAGCTAAAACTCACTTTTCGAGAATTTGGCATAAAATTTATTCTTCTGAAAAATAAGTAATGCAGTTCGAAGATGTTTGGCGTGCTCCTCATCACCCTTGGAATAGATTAAAATGTCGTCAATAAATACATTCCCAAACTGATCTAAGCACGACCTGAAAACTTTGTTCATCAGATCCATAAATACAATAGGGGCATTAGTCAACCCGAAAGGCATGACTTAAAATTCGTAGTGGCCATATCAATATTGGAAAGCTATCTTCAGCACATCTTCACTCTTGATCTTCAGCTGATGGTACCTTGAATGAAGGTCAATCTTAGAAAACATAAAAGACCCTTGTAACTAGTCAAATAGATCATCGATGCGAGGTATATGATATTTGTTCTTCATAGTGATCATGTTTAGCTCTCTGTAGTCAATGCAAAGTCTCATGCTTCCATCTTTCTTCTTCTTGAACAATATCGATGCTCCCCAAGGTGAAACGCTAGGTCGGCTAAATTCTTTATCAAGCAATTATTGTAGATGTACTTTCAATTCTTGAATCTCAATCTTTGTCATACGATACAGTGCTTTTGAAATTGGAGTAGTACCCTAAACCAGATCTATAATAAACACGATCTCACGATCAAGAGACAAGCCAGGAAAATCATCAGGGAATATATTTGCAAACTCTTGAACTATCGGGACGCTATGTAAACTAATGCCCGATTTGTTGGTATCCACCACATGATCAAGATACCCAGCACACCCATGATAAATTATCTTACGGGTTTTAATTGTAGATATAAGACAAGACAAGACTCCTCTTGCACCGCTAAAGCGAAAGGCTGATGCACCGGGTATATGAAAATTCACTATTCCCTTATGACAATCAATTATAGCATGATATTTAGATAACCAGTCCATTTTCAATATTCAATGAAATTTAGCTAGTGGAAATATAATAAGTTGCTGATATATGCATATTATTGATTATGTTATCACAATCACGAACACACTAAGTGACTATCATAAATTTTCCATATGGCGCATTAATTGATAAATAAGGTTGCAATTGAGACACTAATGCATTTGATTTAAATTTGTTTGATATGAATGAATGCAATGCCTCATAATTAAATAAAACCTTTGTTGGTTGTTTATAAATAGAAATAATGCACGTCACCATGTCAAGAACTTCATAGGCCTCTTGCTGGGTCATGGTGAAGATATGAGGAGGGATCGCCTGTCTGGGCTGCTACTGCATTGGAGGTTGACGCATCTGATATTGAATCGATGGTTGCTGTTTCTGGTATGGCATCAGAGGCTGTTGTTGTTGGTACTAGAAAACGGGGTGCTACTGGTTGAGTTGGTTGTGGTACTTGCTGGGTAGCTAGATTAATTCCTTACACTATTTGAGTAAGTTGAACGGTCACCTCTATCATCATCGTGATTAGCATAGTGATATTCAGATTTAGAATAACAACATCTTGACGACTAGGAGAGCGAGGTCCTCTAGGAATAGGTATGGCTTCCTTAGTAGTTCTCGTGGCAGCAACATTCTTTCTTCTTTGCGCCATTCTGAATTATTAAACATATCAAAATAAACTATTATAACATATCAAACATATTATTTAATATTAAGGATAACTTAAGATAATATAGCCCACTACCCAATCCTAAGGAAACAAGGAATATCAAATACAAAACATAATAGGGCTATGATACAACTTTTTCACACTCCGAGTCCGGAAGATGGTACACCCCGGCAATCGGGACACAATTAAGGGATAAAAAAACCTGTATTGTATTCACAAAGAGAACATGCATATACATTAGGTACAATAGGATATATATGTATGCATCAGAGTAAACAAAGGAAGTGAAATGAAGTCAATATATTAATAGAAGTTCTGAAGTAGGGCTAAATGAGTTTGTTGATATTTTACCTTTGAAATTATATGTTTTTTGAAAGAGCGAGAACAATTAGTCACTTCCAATGACTTAAACGATGAATGAAAACATTAAAGTAATGATTTAGTTCGAACAATATAATACATGATAAAGATTTAAAGCACAAAATAACCAACCAAATCAGATTTTGCTATGAGGTTTTCGAAAGAAATCCCTTAATTAAATTCGAAAGAAATCTCTTAATTAACATTTAGAATATTCACTATTTAAGATCCCTCACTCTCACTCTTAATAACTGGTTAAGCGGAGAAAGCTTGCAAGATCTTTGAGATGCGACAATTCAGAGGGACTTGGAAGAAATAAGATTCAGAAGAGAGTTCACCTTTGTTAGGATTCAGAAGTAAGTTGCCACTGAACGGGAGGTTGTCGTTGATCAATAGCGGTGGCGTGGGAGAAGAGGATTCTTTTCACGTAATCTTCAACGGAGAGATCATTCTCTAGGTCAATGTCGAAGAAAGGAGATCGGTGGATGTCAATGAACCCTTGGTCGTCGAATACGAAACCGTGATCAAGCTTCAGATCAGCCATTCATGGAAGGAGGAAGCATAACAAGTAATTTCAGATTTTGTTGATATATGGAAGGGAAAATAACAATTAGAAATTAGAAATTAATTCCCAGCACAATATAAAAATATTGAAATTAATTTGGGAGGGGTTAAGTGGTGGGGGGGGTGAGTTTAATGGAGGGAGCAAAGAGGGAAAGAGGGAGAGAGAGAGGGGGGGTGGGGCTTCGGCTATGGGAGTGGGGAGGGGATGTGGGAGGGAATTAAGGGTTGAGATAGATTGCCAATCTAAATGGAGAAAGAGAATTTAATGCAATTGTCTCTATAAATTAAATTTGGATTTAAAAGGTCTTGATTGGAGGGACTTCCCTAATATAAGTTCTCTTATTTTAAGAAAGAATTTTAAATTCAAATTGAATTAAAATATGAAATTAAAACATTCCTAATTTAAGATGCATCACATAAGGAAAGTAATTAATTAGGGATTTGAAATTTGGAGGCAATGGAGGGGAGATGTGGCCGGCGGCTAGGAGGGGATTAGGGTTAGGATCGACGGCTAGGAAGGGGATGAGGGTTTAGGTTTGGGAGGCGGCTATGAGGAGGGGAGGGGCCCTTTTGGCCGGCGGCTAGGAGGAGGGAGGGGCTTTGGGCTAGCTGCTGGAAAGGAGGAGAGGTGGAGGCCGGCGGTTAGGAGGCAGGGGAAGGCTTTGGGCCGGTGGCTATGAGGAGGGGAGGTGGGTGTTGGACCGGCGGTTAGGAGGAAGAGGGAGGGTGTCAGGCATCTAGGAGAAAGGAGGGACGATTGTGGAGGAGACGGACCATGAGCCCGGACGCTTTCTGTGGCTGATGGGTAGTACGTTGCCCTCACCTGGGGACTTCAACATCTCACAAGAACTCTCTAAGCTCTCAGAACACAACTGCAAAATTTTTTCTTAATAATATTCATCATCCCCTCAAAAGGAAGAGGATGGAGCTTTAAGTAGCCAAAATACTATAGCATGATAAAAGTCAACTACTCGCTCATGTGAAAGTAAAAATGGAAAAACTGCGATAATAAATCAAATATACATATAATAATAAACCTAATACAAATGATAACTCAAAAATAAAGTGATGCGATCGTGGCCGTAGATTGTCGGCCCCTTCTCTGGTAGACTCTCCATGGTTGGATGTCCTCATCAAGTTCAAATAACAAATACAAAAAACACAAAGCTTACACAATCTAACCTAACCTTTGTTAAAAAACCCAAAAGATTTAACATGAAATAATGACGTCGAAGGTATCCAAACAGTGTATGCTTCCCTAATTTTTGAACTAAATCGCAAAATAAAAAGAGAAGTAGAGAACATATCAACATGAATAAAAAATACAAAATCGTGTATGTATGATTAATTAAGATCTAATGTCTCCAATCAAATTTTAAAATTCAAATAACAATAACGACAACATTAACTTACCCCTTGTTAAATGATATCACACAACGAGGGAAAGATGAGGAAGGCACAAACTTTATCCAAGAGAAAGAAGGAAATAAAAAGGAAAAAGGGGGAAGGAAAGATGGAAGGAAAAAGGGAAAACTCGCTGAACAAGGAGAGGAGTTTGAGAAAAGTTCGCCGAGAGCTGCTATTGCAAGGTAGAAACGAAGGAGGCTCAGTGGCTCCTGCGAGGGAGAAAGAGAAGTTTTCGATGCCCTAGGTTCCTTACTAGGTTCAAATGACCAGAGAAGGATGCTATAGGTGAGAGAAATCAATCCAAAAGAGAAACAATCGCATGATTTATGCGATTGGATAGAGAGATGAGGCATGAAGCGTTGGTTGATGTGCAATTGGTTGCGATCTGGGCGAAGGAGCAGGAGGAAGGTCAGTTTGGCTGCTTAGATACAGAATGGACCTAGATTACTATTTGGAGAAATTAAAGAAACTTTTTTGGGGAATGAGAGAACTAGTCATTTCATGTTAAAATTTATCTACAATTTTTTGTACTTTCAATCTTAGAAGGCTTATTTATTCTCTGTTTCTTCCTTCTATTGGGTTCATTGCTTTTACTTCTTCCAAAGTTTGAATTTAACCATCAAAAACTTTTTTAATGTCACAGCTAAAAAATAAATATATTCTCTTAAAACTTTCTTCTAAAGCTGAATTGAAACTATAATGAACTAAAAGGCTTTGCTGACGAGGTTGTACTGTGCTCTACTTGAAAATCCATTGCCCCTATGCCAAATTGCTCTGCAAACTATGAAGGTGGTATCAATCTTTTTTTTGCATATATCACACAGAAATCAAAGAAATTGTTTCATCAAAATTTTGAAAAGCTTTGCGAAAAGCGAATCTGGAAGGCTGTGAGTTGCAGAAGTAACTATTATTAACTTCTGAGTTCATTTTCCTTTGCTGTGTTCCACTTTCATGTTACTTTTTGGAAGCTCTTCAAACTCATTTTTCATTTTTTTTTGTTTAAATTTTCTTATGACAAATGCAGGAAACCAAAACTTGTGACAAACAAATTTTTTGTTTCCATTGTCTTAATACTGAAACTGCTACCAAAGACATACTTAGGCTTTGTTTGGGACGGCTTTCTTACTGGTTCTTAAAGCAGCTTTTTAATTTTTGTACTAGAAAGCTGCTTTAGGAAGCAAGAAAGCCGTCCCAAACGAAGCTTTAATGTGCTGATTTCTTTTGTTTTATAATGTTACTGAAACAATCCAATCTGTTTGGTATTTCTGGCAGAAGAAGACTAAAGAAAGTGCGGGGAGAAAAGCTTCAGCCACTCCATCAGACGCTCTGGTTTTCTACAACTTCATGGAATTGCCTTACAGTGATTATGTAGCTGAGCGAGATGTGATTGTTAATAAGAAAAAAAGGAGATGGGAAGGCTCAGAAGCTGTTGATGTTGATTTAAAGCTTTGAGATTATTTTAGGAAAAGACTGGAAACCATCGATGCTACTTGGTCTTTATTTAATTGAACATGATAGAATCTTTCTTTCTTGTATTGGAATCTTACTATTTAGAAAAATTTATATTGATTTTTAAAAAAGTACATAGAATGGATAACTTATATTACTGTGTTGCACTATGATTGTGGAGATGCTTTGAACAATAAAGATCAGGATGATGAGAGAGTAATAAAGGAGCAATTTGCTTTCTATGGAAGTTTTTTCCTTCCCTATTCAGTCAATTGACAATGTTCCATAAGAGATGAAGAGGTTTTTGAGCAAGGAAGGTTGTTGATGCTTCTCCATGCAGCACCTTCGCTTGCTACAACTCACTGATAGTTGTTGTTTGATAGAAGAGTAAGGCTTCGTTTGGGATGGCTTTCTTACTGTTTTTTAAAACAGTTTTTTAGTACAAAAATTTAATTTTTGTACTAAAAGGCTGCTCCGTTGCAAACGAAGCCTAAGAGTTCAATCTCCTTATAGGCCATTGTGGTTGAAATTATTGTGCGGAGGCCAGACCTGGAATGTCATTTGTAGATCAACTAGAATACGCCATATCAGCAGTACCGAGCCGCGGTACTGAGCGCATGGGTGATGTGGCGCATTCTGGTGGGTGTTCGGACGGCGTTCGTCATCCACACAGAACAATTAATCTCATTGTGGAGGCATTAAACTATTATTATGATGGCAAAATGAGTGATTGCTCTTCTTTTTTGTCAAGGCTTTTGGGAGGTGAGGTCACATGTTAGATGCTTGGATGCTGAGAAGCATTTCTCAAATCATCTTTGAGATCTTAAAATACTTCTCACTTTTTTATTTGAGAGTTTTTTAGGGTTTAACCTTATAGATTGTAATTAACAATAGGAAACTACTTCTATGAGGAATTTGAACCTTATAATAAAAGAAATCTAATATAATATTTTTTATACTATATAAGAGAAATGTTTTTTGGATATATCATGTTTTATATATTTATTCTTTGAACTTATGAAGACTTTTATCCCCTATATCTTTATGTTATACAATATATCCCTTCACAAATTGCTCAAAAGAAAAATACAATACCTATTTCTATTTTGAGTCCATGAGGGATTTATTTTAATATTTAGAAACAATGCATTACTTCATTGTTAGTATTCCCCCTTTCATTCTAAGAATTAGAACCCATATTTCTACCAAACTACCTTAAGTTAGAAGCCAACATTGCTAATTATGTAAGAATCTCAATTTTAATTTAGAAAATAAATTTATTTGGAATAATTGAGTATAAATTTAATAAATTAGATATGCACATAAGCTAATTTTATCAAAAAAATATTTATATTAAAGTACAAAGCTTATTAGCCAATTCAAAATTTAGAAGTGAATGTATTCCATGTTATGAGAAAAGACAATGATGTCATCTAAATGTTAAAAACTAAAATTGAACAAAATTAGCTTAGAAAAGATAGATGTATTGATAGATTACTGGATATAATTCCTACAAAGAGGACAACAAAGATGAGCCCATATAGAGGCAAAAGGATCACCAAGTTAAAATATATGATAACATATACAAATGGAGCAACAAAGGTAGGCCTTTAAGGAGGCAAAATGCTCCTCAATATGTAGCTTTTAGGCTTATAAAAGCTAATAAACCTACTTCTACATACATGATATATTTCAAAGCCTAAAAAGAACTTCTATGTTAATTTATAAAATAAATTATGCAAAGAATAGTCTAGCATGAAGAATTAGGTATGTATGTTCAATGTAGTGTAGTCAATATTTTAGCTTCTAACATCATATGATTATGTTGAATGTTATTTTAGGCAAATAAAAGGACATAGTAGAGCTTGAATGAGGATCATAATTTGATCAATTACTCTATTTTTATATAAAATTTTGCATAAGATAGAGCATAATCAAGTATGCATGTGATGAATGTTTTGTTTGTATATAATGGAGTACTAATGTATGCTAGTATTGCATATACCAAACTTTCATAGACTAAATAAGTGCGGTAAGAAAAATTAATGCTAAATAGAGCCATTATAGCACAATAAAAAATATGAGAAATATCAAATAAAAGCATCACATGTATGTTAGACATCTATAAGAAAAATATTTCTACCATAGTGTAGAAAAGAAGCTAATAACATAAGTGCTAAATAAGATCATTCAAACTAGCAATATATACCCTAACATAATAAGTCATACTCCTTACTTAAAACAAATCCTCTAGTAAGATGTTGACCTAGTGGCATACTCGATATGCCAAGCAGCTAGAAGGTTGTGACCTACCATAACACCTAAATTTTGGCATAAGTCTTATTGTAATAAGGGTGAACTTATATGTAGGTCATCCTAAATAGTGTTGTCTCATACTAGTCTGCTTACCAATAATGGTCGAACAATGAGTATGCTCAAAAAATAAAGTGTAGGGTTTGACTCATATCAGTCAAAATCGACTTGAAGTTAATATGTTCAGATCAAATTAATTTTCTATGGTGCATGTGTAGTTACCCTTGATATATGTCTAATGAAAGTGCTAAATGCCAGATACACATGGCCAAGGAACATTGGATGTTATAAAACTTGTCAACCAAGGTTGGTCAATAGTCAATTTGATTTTTCCAACACAACATATAGTGTGTGAATAGTGCATGTTTACAAGAAATTTTTACAATGAGAAAACTTATATCAAGTCAAATGAATATTTTGATTTCCTAAAAATAACTAGGATTTTATAGAAAAATTCAAATTTATTAAATATTTGAAATACAAGATACCAAAGTAGTGTAGATATTTGAAATTAAAATTGCTATTAAAATTAATGATTTAAAATATATTATTTTGAAAAAGTCAAACTTAAGCAGACTACCAAGGTCAAAGTTTAATTAAAAGCTATTTTTAAGTAAATAAATAATTAAATGATGGATATAGGAATCATGAAAATTTTTAAAATTTGTCAATCCATGTTCAAATAAAATTGATCGTACTTCTTAATTTTTGTACTTATGGTAAACAATATTCTCAAATATTAGGGGTATTTTTTTGAAAACAGTATAACTTTTTTCTAATGAAATTTAAATTAAGCCTTGATTAATTAAATTAATTAAAATTTTATTTTACTAATATATTAAAAAAAATTATTTAGGAAAATACATAACATGAAATGTATGCACCCAATGCTTATGAACTTTTGGGCACATGCCTATCATATGAGATTCATAAATATTTTTAGATTTTTTTTTTAAAATTATTTTGTATTTTCTATAACTATTATTAAAATTGTAACATTTATAAAAATACAAATAAATAGAGAAAATCCCAAATAATTTGGTAAGTGTTCACACACTCTTAAGATGATATTTAGACTTGAAAACATGCATTGGTGATGTTAACAATTCATAAAATTTGATTTTCCTTTAATTATCCTCTTTTTAAATTAGAAAAATAGGATTTTTAAGAATAAAATATTGAAATTAATTTGATGGTTAAAAAAAAAATCACATGAATGTGTGGGATGGGATGAAATAACATGTTTATACAATCCCAATTTTCTCAAAGATATTTGAGTGTTTTCCTTAATTAAATAATGAAAATATAGATATTTCAATTATAAAAATAATAAAATACTTCAAATAATTCCAAGGAAATTTGGGTATGCTCAAACAATGACTTAAACCTAGGGGGTAGTTTAGTAATTTCACATGTCTTATTTTAATATGATAAATGTGAAACCTTAGATTTCAAAAAAGGTGTTTATTATGTTAAAACTCCAAATTTCATTAGACTTTTTTAGAATTAATTAAATAGATTTAAAATTTTGAAAATAGTAAAATTATCATTTTAAAATAATTTAACAAATCAAATGACTTCTAAATATCCTAAAATATTTTGGGAGTGTGTAAAAATACTTTAGAAACCTTTCCAATTTTTTGAGGAATTTTTTAAATAAAACTTTATTTCTATAAATTTTAAATAGTCGCTTTACGAGTTTGAAAATTCATAATAACATGCAATGTAGGGCTCACTAAAGTTTGATTTAATTTTGTTAACCTTAATAGGATATATTTAAGCTATCCACAATGTTTGAGAATTCTTTAGAAATTATTAAGCTATTAAATGAATTAAAGTAATCATTAATTTATTCTTTTTTGGTATAAATTAAGCTCAAAATTCATGGAATGCATTTCTATTATATTATTTTTGTTTAAGTGCACCTCTAATTAAAATTTAATGCATGGGACTTTGTTTTAGGATGTGCTCAATGAAAAAAGATTTATAAAGTACCTAAAATCTCGACAATTAAACTTAGTCATGAAATTTTATTCAAACAATATGAAATAACTAGCGGATTATTGTCCCCAAATGCATGGGTTGAAAACCAAAGCATGGGTCTCGCAGGTCAACCCGATCTAATACCTACCCAAAAGCTCTAGCGACACGTGCAAAGAGAGTTCTCTGATGGGTCAAAAAGTTAACGAATAGTTTAAAGAGACGACTAAATGACCCTTAATTCCATATTCCAACTTAATAATATACTTATAATACTTCACTCTTGATCTCCCAACTTGGGATTTGCCCCAATAAACCAAATTACCAAGGTTGTCAACCCTTTAAAATATTGTAAAGTTTTTAATATTTAGGCTTTAACACACAAACATCTACCAAATGGCAGAGCTAAAAAAAAATTTAAGGGCATAAAGTGGTTGATTTAAAAATAATATCAATATTTTTTAATAACTATTAATAGCCATAAACTCTAAAATTTTGGAGTAACACAAATTCTTATTTTTAAATATAAAGAAATTTTTAAATTTTGATGGGATTGGAGCATGTTCCCTCTCATACCCACACCACTAAACTGGTCCTTGAATGCCCCTATAAATGTTCTCAAATTATTGAAAAAAAAAAAGTACCCATATTCATATGCCATAAATAATATAAAAATTTATAAAATATCATTAAAACATTATATATAAATATATTAATTGCTTTGTACTTAGAGCAAACTTCATTCTCCAAATTAAAATAGCTAATTTTATATCAAATGTTATTAAATAAATTAAGATCAAAATTCCATGCCAACAAAAATATGACATGCGACCCCATACATTAAGGTTACCTTGATTACAATGGCTCCATTATATGATGGTTATGACCGAAGCTTATACATTTCATAATAGAATGCATACAAGCATCTAATTCTACTTTGTGCAACT